CAAATACCAAATAACCCCATTACAGGCCATATCACTTATGAACATCAACAACAGTAAATAAAACTTCAGTGAATAGAATCCAACACATTAAGGATACATCACGACCAAATACGATTTATACCAGGCACACAAAGTTGGTTAAATCCATTAATATCATATTAATAGATTCAAGAAAATAAATCATTCACTTACCTCCATAGTTGGTGAAAACTGCTTTAAGAAAATTTCATAACCATTCTCAACAAAAAACACAAACAAGTAGGACACCTGGCTGGGCCCTGTGTTCAGACCAGGCTGGCAGTGGCTGTGGTGGGATAGCCCAAAGTCCCATACACATGGGCCTGCTGGCTAATCGAGATTGCTACAGGGCACTCCCTGTCCTCAGAAAATGTCCGGATGCCTGTCAGATGAGCCATTGTTATGGACTGAATTGTGTTCCCCCAAAATATGTGTTGTAAATCCTAACTCCTATACTTGTTCTGTTGTACACAGGGTCGCTATGAGTTGGAACGGACTCACCTAACAATACATGTGGGTGTAATCTCATTGGGAATAGGTTTTTTTATGTTAATCAGGCCATATTAGCGTAGGATGTGTCTTAAGCCAATCATTTCAGATATAAAAGGAGATTAGGCACAGAAGAAAGCACTGATGAGGGAACACAGATACCAAGCCACATGAAGAATGCCAAGGAACTGAGCAGCAGAGGCTGAAAAGAGACAAGGACCTTCCCCCAGAACAGAGAGCCTACTCTAGAGCTGATACCCTAAACCTTGACTTCTAGCCTCCTAAAATGTGAGAAAATGAATTTGTTTGTTAAAGCCACCCACTTACAGTATTTATTATAGCAGCACTAAGAAACTAAGACAGCCACCCACCTGAATGTCCCCTCTTGATGCCAGTGCCAAACAGTATACTACTAGATTGCACCAGAAATCAGCCCGTCCAGATCTCAACATAACTAGAATTTTGGATTGCTGGTTGGAATACAAACTGGCATAGCCTCTTTAAAAACAGATTGGCAGTTCCTAATACAATTAAACATACATCTACCACATGACAGCAATCCTTCTTCCAGGGATATACACAAGAAAAATGAAAACTCTAAGTTCACAAAAAATCTGTTCAGGAATGTTTCTATCAGCTTTATTCATAACAACTGTATATACAAATGTCCTTCCATTGGAAACTACAAACCATATGTGGCTAAACAATGGAGTACTACACAGCAATTAAAAGGAAGAAGCTATCATTCATTAACATGGATGACTCTCAAATGCATTATGCTATGGGAAAGGAGTCAGAATCAAAAAAAGCTACACAATGCATGGTATGTACAGGGTCAGTTGCTAGGGATTCATGGTCACAGGAAGGTGTGACTAAAAAGGGGCAGCACCAGGGAGAATTTGGGAGGGAAGAGGTGGTACTATTCTATACTTTAATTTTCAACTGACTACGAGACTTCATGCATTGTCAACTCTGATTCCAAAAGTAAAATAGTTTTTAATTTAAAAAATAAGACTAAATTTTCCTAAGAAATGAATAATGAATTTAAAAAAATTGGAAACTGAAGAGAAGCAAAATGAGACAAGAAATCAATCATAACCTCACCTTCAGGGAAGAATACTTGTTAATGCTCTAGGATGAAATGTTTTGTACAAGATAGTTTGTTGACATTCAAAAAATGTACATTAATATGTAAATGTTTTACAAACTGACACCATCTTGTATACACTATTTTATACCCTGCTGCAGTGCAATGGGTTCCTCTTATATATGGCTGTTCTGGACCTGGGTTTGTAATTCTGCCAAAAATGATTCGTTGCACCACAGTCCGACCTGTGATTGGTTTATTTTACATACCTTACAGGGATTGGTCAATCTGTTAATCAAATAGTGGCTTGAAAATCCACTCAACAGGATTGAGTGACTTGAAGCCCACCAAAGGCATTGGTCAGTCATGGTCCTGTAGAGAGAGCCATGCCTTGAAATTGACAAGGAGTTTGCTTACATAAGCGGCATCCTCACACAAGGAGAGGAGGTAACCTACTTAAAAAGCTGTAATACGGGTCAAGAGCTGTAACAATGAGGATGGTGTGCGGCCCAAAAAGGGGCCTGGGGCAGAGCAGAGAGCTGGCGGCAGAACTGTTGGCAAAGGCAGAAAGCTGCTGCTAGGAGCTGAGGAGCTGAGTAGGCTGCTAAACTGGCTCTGATTTGGGCCAGTTAGCAGCAGAAAGGCCGACAGCAAGGAGGTCAAAGGCACAGAGGTGTGCTTAACCGAGAAGGGTCTGCTAGTATTGCAGAGATTAGCTGAGAGAGCTGTACTGGTTGGAAGCTGTCCCGAGTGATGGAACTGCAAGGGGAATTGATGGATCAAGAGAAAACTAATTTGAAGGCTTCTGCTACCTTCACCCACCATTTTGTAGGCCCCTTATGTCAGAAGCAAGTGAGCCCACTCCCAGCTCAGCATGGTGCAGAGGAGCTGGAAGAACTTCTAGACCCAACAACCCCTTGCCCCACTAATCAGATGTCCTGATTGATCCCATCCTGAATTGTATCCTGTAACTTCCTTAATAAACCACACAACTGTGCATATCATCTGTGAGCTCTGTGTAGTCACTGCAACAAATTATTGAACCCAGCAGAGCAGTAGAGTGTACCATGGTATCAGTAATGGTGAAGTTGGAAAAGCTGACCACCTCACAAGAATCAACTTTGTGCTAATGCTGATTCTCAACCCTAAGGAATCTAGATGATTTCTTGCATTAGACTCACCTGTCTTTCACACATTACGCTATGATTGCCTCTCCTTTGGTCCAAACTTTCCTGAAAACATTCATTTAGTGGCCGTTCATTATTCTGATGTGTGGCCAGGCATTTATCTAACTACAACCTTCCTGGTGGACCATGATTCTCACATTATCCACTATCTATCACTACTATCAATAGGCACCGTCATGGTGCCCAGGGATTTCCATGAAATGGTACTACAAGGGGAATTCATAGATCAAGAGAAAAACTAATTTGAAGGCCTCTGCTACCTTCAGCCACCATTTCATAGGCCCCTTATGTGAGGAGCAAGTGAGCCCGCTCCCTGCTCAGCATGACGCAGAGTGGAGCTGGAAAAACTTCTAGATCCAACAACCCCACTAATACAGGAACTCTAGATGGACCCCTATCTTCCCCAACTCTGTAGGGGGTGTTCACACCAGGTGGATCAGTATCCAATATTGCAGCCCAGCAACTACAGCCTTAGCTCCTGACCTGGTGTGTACTCTTGGACTATCAGAATGATCAAAACCAGGACTCTGTCACTGAGCACAGGCTCTGTGTCTGTGCAGGTCAGAACTTCCATTGCAGCTAGGTCAGGTGGGGGCTCTGTGTGGGCCTATCACCAACTTGAGCCACAAAATGAATTATCCTTCCATGCAAACCCTGCTACTCAAACCATCATTTGAGAGAGGGGCACTTGGTGCGATGATTTTGTATTAAAACATATGGTGCAATCCTGATTCTGTTTAAACCATTGCTGTGCACATAAGACTGAAAGGAAACATGCAAAACATCAATAGTGTGATTCTAACAAAAGTACAAACACTACTTATCAAAATTCATACCATAAGATTGAAAGCAGACTTAGAGTAATATTTTTCACCTTAATGTTTACATCAGAAAATACAAAGTGGAAATTAATGTACATGGGAGAGCATTAATTAAAAATAATTAAAAGTAGAAATTAATGCATAAGGCAATGGTAAATTCAACATTTCTAACTTTGTAAGATTCCTCCACTGGTATAAACTTCATTGTGCATCAAAAAGGCAATGATGTGAAGGCTTTATCACAAAGCTTAGTCATACCATCTCTCCAGTATGTAAGGTCTCATAGGTGACCTGAAGAAGTGACACAGCAGCCTTCCATCATTGTTTACATTCATAGGATCAATCCAGTGTAATACATCTCAAGTCGCGGAATGGAAAAAGATGTGTAGATGTTCTAGGTATATTACATTTACATGATGTCTCTCCTGTGTGACTTCTCATATGTTCAGTAGGGTTAGTGTTTTCCATATGCATGAATTCAAAAGTCTCTGAAAGTATGGGGAGGCAAACAAAAATTGTCCCAATTCCTTACACTGACATGGTTTTTCTGCCATGTTATCTTCTTTTAGGTTTGGGAAAAAGAGGAGGAATGAAAGCTATCCAATGTTACTTAGACATACATTGTTTCTCTCCAGGATACCTACTCAGATGTGTTCCAAATTATGTGCCATATCTGAAGAGTTTCCCATGTTCTTTACATGCACAGGGACTCTCTCCACTGTGATTTAGTATGCCTATAGAGCAAGAGTAACTAAAGACTTTTCCACATTTCTTACATTCATAAGGTTTCTCTTCACTATGCCTTCTTCTGTGTTCTGTGAGATAAGAGGTATGAGTAACAGCTTTCCCACATTCCTTATATTTGTTTCTCTACATTGTGAGTTTACTGAGGGTCAGCAAGGACTGAGGAGTGAATACAGACTTTCCTATATCCCTTATATTCATAAGTCCTCTCTGCAATGTTCTAATGTGTCTAGTGTCTAGTGAGGATGTTTGCTGTTGTCAGGTGCTGTTAAGTTGGTTCTGACCCTTAGTGACCCTGTGTAAAACAGAACAAAACACTGCCCAGTCCTGCGCCCTCCTCACCATCACTTATGTTTGAGCCCACTGTTGTAGCCACTGTTTGTCAATCTATCTTATTGAGGGTCTTCCTCTTTTTCACTGAACTACTTTACCAAGTGTGATGTCCTTCTCCAGGGACTGGTCTCTTCTGATAACATGTTCAAAGTACGTGAGATGAAGTCTCACTACTCTTGCTTCCAAGGAGCACTTTGGAAGTACTTCTTCCAAGACAGACTTGTTCATTCTTCTGCAGTCCGTGGTATAGTCAATATTCTTTGCCAACACCATAATTCAAAGGCATCAATTCTTCTTTGGTCTTCATTATTCATTGTCCAGCTTTTGCATGCATGAGGTGATTGAAAATATCATGGCTTGGTCAGGCGCACCTTAGCCCTCAAAGTGTTATCTTTGCTTTTTAACACTTTAAAGAGGTCTTTTGCAGATTTGCCCAGTGCAAATGACGACTCACTAAAGGCTTTCTCATTCCGTACATTTCAAAGTTCCCTCTCCACTATGTGTCTTATATGTCTAGTGAGGTCTTAAAAATTACTAGGGGCCTTCCCACATTCCTTAAATTCATAAGGCTTTCCTGTGAGTTTTTATATGAATAGTGAGGGATGAGGAACGACTGAAGACTTTCCTACATTCTTCACATTCAAAAGGCTTCTCTCCAGTGTGAACTCTTCTATGCGTAGCAAGGGCTGAGGAATGACTAAAGGCTTTTCCACATTCCTTACATTCATAAGGCTTCTCTCCAGTGTGAACTCTTCTATGTGTAGCAAGGGCTGAGGAATGACTAAAGGTTTTTCCACATTCCTTACATTCATAAGGCTTCTCTCCAGTGTGAATTCTTATATGTGTAGCAAGGGCTGAGGAATGACTAAAGGTTTTCCCACATTCCTTACATTCATAAGGCCTCTCTCCACTGTGAGTTCTTATATGTTTAGTGAGGGCTGAGGAACAACTAAAGGCTTTTCCACACTCCTTACATTCATAAGGCCTCTCTCCACTGTGAGTTCTTATATGTTGACTGAGGGTTGAGTAATCGCTAAAGGCTTTCCCACATTCCTTACATTCATAAGGCCTCTCTCCACTGTGAGTTCTTATATGTCTAATGAGGGATGAAGAACAACTAAAGGCTTTCCCACACTCCTTACATTCATAAGGCTTCTCTCCACTGTGAGTTCTTACATGTTTAGTGAGGGATGAAGCCCGACTAAACGCTTTCCCACATTCTTTACATTCATAAGGCCTCTCTCCACTGTGCGTTCCTACATGGCTAGTTAGGTGGGAGGACTGACTAAAGGTTTTCCCACATTCCTTACATTCATAAGGCCTTTCTCCACTATGAGTTCTTATATGCTGAGTAAGGGATGTGTAATTGCTAAAGCTTTTCCCACATTCTTTACATTCATAAGGCCTCTCTCCACTGTGAGTTCTTACGTGTCTAGTGAGGCATGAGGAACTACTAAAGGCTTTCCCACATTCCTTACATTCATAAGGCTTCTCTCCAGTGTGAACTCTTATATGAGTAGAAAGGGCTGAGGAATGACTAAAGGCTTTTCCACATTCCTTACATTCATAAGGCTTCTCTCCAGTGTGAACTCTTATATGTGAAGTGAGTGCTGAGGACTGACTAAAGGCTTTCCCACATTCCTTACGTTTATAAGGCCTCTCTCCATTGTGAGTTCCTACATGTATAGTGAGGGATGAGGAATGACTGAAGACTCTCCCACATTCTTTACATTCATAAGGCATTTCTCCACTACGAAATTTTTTATGTAAAAGGAATGATGAGGGATAGGTTTTCCAACATTCTTTACGTTCGCACTTACCTCTTTCATGTGTCTGAAAGGATGAGAAACTACAGAAATCTTTCTTACATGTGCTACATTCATAGGGTTTCTCTCCAGTGAGTGCTGTCACCTTACATTTATAGGGTTTCTCTTCAATAAGAGTTCTCTCAGGACTGCTTAGGTCAGAGGGACAACTGAAGGCTTCTCTACATTTCTTATATTGATAAGTATTGCAACCAGAGTGAGATCTGATATGATGCTTAAAGGATGAGTGGTTGACGAAGGATTTTCCACACTCATGGCATTCAGAAGAATTTACAACAGTAGGAGTTCTTTTGAACACAGTAAGATTCGTCCATCTGAAGGTTTTTCCACCTTGATTTTCTTGATTATTTTCAAACAGGTTCTTTACCACAGGCTTTCTGTTAAAAATAGGCAGCATGCTGTTAGGATTAAATTTGGTCCCATTTCACCATTACCGAACACAGTGAATGTTTATGATGTTTGCCCTAAGTTGCCTCATGTTTCGTATGTTAAATCACCCGGCAGACAGACTACTATTACTGCCACAGTGTTTCCAAAATATGAGGCTTTCTGATAATTGTGTACAAGTGAAATATATTTCAAATATCCAATATTTAACTCACATTTATGAAAATATTGTGAAAATTCTGTGTACAATTTTAGAACTAGTTACATATATATGTATATATGTACACGTATATATAAAATATATAATTTTAATGTCATGACACCTTAAGATTTTCTCATGAGGCACTGCTCTCTCACGTGAATGACACTCACCTCATATGTCTCTCCTGATTTTTATGCTGATCTTCAAGGCCACGCAATTTGCAAATATCTCCTAACATGGAGGACCAGGTGTCATTCTTCATGAATTTTACTATTAGATATTCACTGGATAACTTTTCTCCATCACTAAGGTTTTGAGAAACTGATCCAATGATTGAAGTTGAGTTTCACAGCATGAAATAAAAAGGAAAGGAATTATTAGGAGGAAAAAGGCAGCTGTGAACAAAGAAAGAACGACACATTTGGCTGTTTCAGATCTTTGGCAACAGCCAAAAAGCAATTTTCTAGGAAATACTTCCTTGAAGATTGAGTGTGATAGCAGGGTTTTGAACTATTTAAAACTAATTCAGTCATGGCCGCTGAAGCAGAACTGGAAGAGACCCAAATTTTTTTAGTTTTGGTAAAATCAGGACAATAACCAAAACGGAAAAAATTACAGGTCCAAACCCTGGAATGGGAGACTCGTAAGAGGCATAGTTGAGCCTGATACAGGAGACTGGATTACTGGCTCGACTGCAAAGAGTGACACACATTGAAAGCAGCATGCTCGGCTGCAATCTTTGAGCAGGGCATCATGTTTCCAACTCTGCTCAAAATCCAACAGGCCAGAGATTTGGTCACCATGCAACGCATATGCTGTCCTTGTTGTTAAAAGGGAGATTAAGTTTCTACCAGGGCTTTGACCCATAATTTTTCCCATTCGCTTACTGTCCTGGTTCACCAAAATTTTAAAAATTCGGGTCTATTCCTTTAAAAATTTAGGTCTGTTCTGGTTTTACTTCTTCAGCCATGATTGAACTGGGAAAAACCGGTCCAAAACCCTAGTGACAGTGACATAAATACGGTGCAATTAGGAGAGTAAAGTACAAAGATATTGGACACACTGCACATTGTCATGGATTGAATTGTGTCCCCCCCAAAATATCTGTCAACTTGGCTGGGTCATGATTCCCAATATTGTATAATTGTGAACCATTTTTTAATCTGATGTGTTGTAAACTCTATCGCTATGATGTAATAAAATGGATTAGTGGCAGTTATACTGATGAGGTCTACAAGATGAGTGTCTTAAGCCAATCTCTTTTGAGATATAAAAGAGAGAAGCAGAGACACATAGGAACCTCATACCACCAAGAAAGCAATGCCGGGAGAAAAGCGCATCCTTTGGACCTGAGGTTCCCATGCAAAGAAGCTCCCAGACCAAGGGAAGATTGATAACATGGACCTCCCTCCAGAGCCAACAGAGAAAGCGTCCGCCTGGAGCTGACGCCCTGAATTTGGAATTGTAGCCTACTGGACTGTGACAGAATAAACTTCTTTGTTAAAGCCATCCACTTGTGGTATTTATGTTATAGCAGCACTAGATGACTAAGACAGAATTCTAAGACACACATGTAATGTGGAAATGCTCAATGTACATGTAAGAAGAAAAGAGGAAGATTCTCCTCTAACAGGCGTGAGAGGATTGATGAAAGTAATAAAAGTAAGCCCAGGCCTGTGAAGTTAAGTCTCCGCAACCCAAAACAGACTTTTTCTAACTGATTTATTCAAATGTAATTCCCTCCATGCAGGGCTGCTCCTTCAATGGATTCTTGCCTTCCTGGTACTCCCTGATATAGTAGCTCTGGAGGTCCTATGCCCACTCTCCTCACATCTTTCTCTTGTTTTTCTGGGAGAACAAATGGGTGTAGCTGACATGGTGCTCATGGGAGAGCAGTATCATGAGGGAAGATAGTGAAGAGCAATGAGCACTTCCCTGACACTGAAACAATACTCTGGTCTTCAGAGTCACTGAAGATGGGCAGGTGTGAATTTATTTTCAGCAAAATAATCATGTTTAACTTGTAATAAACACAGTAAATCTCTTTATAAGGTCTCAAACCATAAGTCGTCTCTCTGTGCTGTAAAGTAAAACCTAAGTCAATTCTCACACATACAACACTAAAAGAGTCTCAAGGCTTTTAAAAAGAGAAATAAACAGGCGGTGTAATATAGACAGCTTTATGTTCAGGGGGAGCCAGGACATTTAAGATTCATAGATGAAATGACTACAGCTGTCCTGTGAGTGGGAATCAACTCGATGGCAACGGGTTTGGTTTTGGTTTTTGGTCCTGTTTAATAATGCCTTCCCATTCTGCAGCCCAAATATTGGAGTAAGGTTGACTTGTATATGTGTTCACTAAATAACAATAAAAATGATACCATACTTACCTACTGAGGACAGGTTTCTGAAGGTTTCCGTCATCACATCTTCGTACAGTTTCCTCTGAGCAAGATCCAGCAAAGCCCACTCTTCCTGGGTAAACTCCACGGCCACATCCTCAATGACCACTGAGTCCTAAAATACCCCATATAGTCTGGTTCAGCAAGATACCATGTACTCCAATGTGTGCAAAAGGTGAAGCTGAGAGTGCTGCGGAACTCAGAATTCACAGGGATCTGACACAAGGTTTTGTGTTGTTCCAAGTTTTACTCTAGCGTTTAGGCATCAGCTTCATTCCACCACTGTCTACATTCCCTTCCTGATTGCATCCTGTGTCACAGATTTAACAACACTTCCAACACATTGATCTCTCTCTACACTCCGTGACGAATTCCAGTCTTAGTCTTTCTATCTTTATGAACTAAAACACTCAGAGCACATACCAGAAATTAAAATCAAAGAAACAAAAAAAAAATTTCACCTCCTTACACAAGACCTAACAGAACTCAAAGAACATGAGTCACAGGGTGAAAGCAGGATGAGATATTAACAACTAGGAAACACTGTAGGATTTACAACTTTTCCTTTTGACCCTCAGCAGTCATGGGAAGCCTAGGGGCCCACAACAAACTGGTAACTCAAGGCCCTGAGATGCTCATATTTTCTTGAAGAATTCCAAGTGATGAGAAGGTAACAGGACACCTACTAAAAGTAGAATATTATTTTTGAGAATTACAAATTTTTACATGTCTGTCACCTGTTTTTCAGTAAGTCAGTAGTTGCACTATCATCCTCTTTCATGGATTCAGGTAAGGGCATTGAAAAGTTAACTGGAGCTCAGGTGAGGGACATGAAACTTGAGAATCAAGATCTCACAATTCTCAAAATTTGAGAACCAATGCTAATGTACACCAATTGTTAGTTAACGCTCCCCTCAACAAACATACACCTAATCACCCATATACACTCTAATGTTCTAAGATGACAAAGAGCCCTATCTCTGTAAGAACCAGAATAGCATGCCCTTGTGTTTGCTGACCGTGAAAAACGTTAAGATTCTCATTTTGTAATGGGTGGGCAACGAGATGAATGTAACCAATGTTACTGAATTATTGTTGAATTGCCAAATATTTCGTTATATGTAATTTCTGTACACATACACACAAAAAATCATTTTGTAAATGAGTTATTTGAAGTGTAGAGGGATTCTCGGTGAATCCTAGAAAAAAGAGATTTACATGCCAGCCTTCTACAAGCTCCACACCAACATTTTCTGACATGCGCATCCCCTGGAAGGTATGCAAGCATGACTACCCAAACCCTGACCACTGGCATCACCTGGGTTGTAGGACTGGCCTCTGTGAGAAAGCATCAATCCACTGGTTTCCTCACGTAGTGAGGAGAAAAGGCCAGTACACTGCACTTCTGATGCTATAAGTGGACTGAACAGCAGAGCAGCTGTACAACAGAAAGTCTCCTCTGGTCAGGGCAGGGGGTGAAATGAACTGCTTAGGTAATCTCTAATCAATCCTGGCATGAAGATGCCATGGTAAATGTTGATCCAGAGCCAAAATTCAAAAGTCTCCTCCACTGCAGTGGGCCACGTTACATATTTTAAAACCATCAAAAACCCTAACATTCATTACTACAATATATAATGTCATGGACTAAATTATGTGTGTATCAATTTGGCTGGGCCATGATTCCCAGTATTGTGTGGTTGTCCTCAATTTTGTGATTGTAACTTTATGTTAAAGAGGATTAGGGTGGGATTGTAACACCCTTACTAAGGTCAAATCCCTGCCCCAATGTAAAGAGAGTTTCCCTGGGGTGTGGCCTACCCCACCTTTTGTCTCACAAGAGACAAAAGAAAAGGGAAGCAAGCAGAGAGTTGGGAACCTTATACCACCAAGAAAGCTCCGGGAGCAGAGTGAGTCCTTTGGACCTGAGGTTCCTGCACTGAGATGCTCCCAGACCAAGGGAAGACTGATGTATCATAAGGACCTTCCTCCAGAGCCAATAGAGAAAGCCTTCCCCTGGAGCTGATGCCTTGAATTTGGACTCACAGCCTACAAGACTGTGAGAAAATAAATTTCTTTGTTAAAAGCCATCTACTTGTGGTATTTCTGTTATAGCAGCACTAGATGACTAAGACAATAATAAAATGTTCCATTTACTGAGCAACTACCATATATGAAAGGTTTTGCACTAGTTCATTTTCCACTAGTTCATTTCCCATAATGACTATTAAGCAGATATCATTTCAAACAGTTCATAGTTTAAGAAAGTTAAAAATAATTAATCACACGCCCAACGTTGCACAACTGGAATGTTGCTGAGCCAGGGTTACAATGCAAGGCAATTTGCCTTTGAAGACTGAATTCCTGACAACTACATTTCTTTTCATATGAATACAGTTTTGTTATTTTCACTCTTATTCTCCAAGAATATCATGAATGATCTAGAGTACTGCTGGGTATTAGGAAAAGGAGACAAATGAACCATCCTATTCAATTCAGACAACCTGGAGCTCCTTCTCCTGGCAAAGCCCTGTGTCTCAGGAAAGACTGTCCCCTTTAGGGTCCTTTCCTCTGGCGTCTTCATTTATTACAAATAATTTTGGTAACACTGAAATAGAACCTACTTCATATGGGCAAAATAGATACAGGTAGTACTCGGGTTATGAACACCCTACTTACAACCCGTAGTTACGAAGAAGTCTGTAAGCCTCTTATATTAAAAACAGGAGGTACATGCAATGGTTCTACTTTGCAACGTGCATCAAATCATTATCATTATTACTGTATTATTATGTTCTACCACTTGTCTGTCAGTTTGTTGTATTACGGTGGTTTGCATGTTGCTGTGATGCTGGAAGCTACACCACTGATATTTCAAATACCAGCAGAGTCACCCTCGGTGGATAGTTTTCAGTGGAGCTTCCAGACAAACACAGACTAGGAAGAAGGACCTGAACAAAACAGAAACACCTCTGGCTTTCAACTAAAAACTACAAGGCATACTAAAGACAAAAAACACAGCTTGAAGAGAAAAAGCAAGCATCAGACCCAGTGTAAGATACAGCACAGATTTTAGAATCATCAGATTAGAAATTCAAAACAACAATGATTAACATGCTAGGGGCTCTAATACATAAAGTACACAACATACAGCAACAGGTGGGTAATGTAAGGAGACAGATGGAAACTGTCAGAAAGAATCCAAAGGGAAAGCTAGGGAAAAAAATACTATAACAGAATGGGAAATTCGGCAATTATTATGGATAATGGATGCACATTATATCACTAAATTGTACACTTGAAGAATGTTGAATTGGTAAATGTTTTATAAATTGGCAATTCTAAAAAAACAACATTCTTCAGAGGAAAAAAAATGCTATAGATGAGAAACTCAGATCTACATGAGGAAAGGAAGAGCACTAAACAATGAATAAATGAAGGTAAAATCTTTCTTAACTGATCTAACAGTTAATAGTTTGTTCAAAATAATAACCGCAACAATGTATTCAGTGATTATCGTAACCCCATGTGACAGAGCAGAACTGCCCCATAAGGTTTTCTTGGCTGTAATCTTTATAGAAGCAGATCATCAGGTCTTTCTCCCACAGAACTGCTGGGCAGGTTCAAACTACCAACCTTTTGGTTAGCAGCTGAGTGCTTAACCGTTGTGCCACCAGGCCTCCTTACAAACTTTATAACCTAGATGAAATGGACTTATTCTTTGGAAAACACAATCTACCAAACTGTACACAAGCAGAAATAGATAATCTGAATATGCCAATATCTGCTAAATAAATCAATAAGTAAAAACCTCATGAAACAGAAAGTACTGGCAGAGATGGGTTCAGTGTTGAATTCTACCATACCAAACATTTAAAGAAGAAAGCATACCAATTCTCTATCCCTTCCAGAAAGTAAAAGTAGAGGGACTGACTACTTCCAAGCCAATTTAATGAGGCCAGCATTACCCAAATACCAAACCAAAGACATTACAAGAAAAAAAAACTATAGACGTAAATTTCAACGAAACATTAGGAAACTGAATCCAACGTACAACAAGAATTACACACTATGACCAAATGGAAAGTATTTCAGGTACACAAGGATGGTTCAACATTAAAGAAATCAATTAATGTAATCCATCCCATCAACAGGCTAAAGAAGAAAAAATATATGATCAATATACACTGAAAAAGCATTGGGCAGAATTCAACACTGATTCATGATAAAAATTTTCAGCAAACTAAGAAAGGAAGGTTCTCAAGTTGATAGAAAACATCTACAAAAAACCAACAGCTAACATCATTTTAAGTGAGAAACTAGATCCTTTCCTGCTAGGGCAACAAGACAAGGATGTCCCTGCTCATCACTCTGATTTAACATTGTGCTAGAAGTTCTACGTAATGCATTGAAACAAGAAAGAAAAGGTATATAGACTGGTAAAGAGAAAATAAAACTTTATTTGCAGATAACGATTGTCTATGTAAAAATCCCAAAGAGTCAACAAAAAATTTCTGGAAACTAATAATCGATCATAACAAAGTTGCAGGATAAAAGATTAATATGGAAAAGACAACTGCTTTCCTGTTGTTGTTAGGTGCTGTCGAGTCGGTTCTGACTCATAGCGACCCTCTGTACAACACAAAGAAACGCTGCCCAGTCCTGGGCCATCCTCACAATCGTTGTTACGCTTGAGCCCATTGTTGCAGCCACTGTGTCAATCCATCTCGTTGAGGGCCTTCTTCTTTTATGATCCCCCTTTACCAAGCATGACGTCCTTCTCCAGGGACTGGTCCTCCCTGATAACATGCCCAAAGTGTGTGAGACGAAGTCTCGCCATCCTTGCTTCTAAGGAGCATTCTGGCTGTCCATCTTCCAAGACAGATTTGTTCATTCTTTTGGCAGTTCATGTATATTCAGTGTCTTAGTCATCTAGTACTGCTATAACAGAAATACCACAAGTGGATGGTTTTAAGAGAAGTTTATTTCCTCACAGTCAAAGTAGGCTAAAAGTCCAATTTCAGGGTGTCAGCTCCAGGGGAAGGCTTTTCCTCTCTGCCAGCCTTCTCTTCGTTGTTCCCCCAGACTAGGAGCTTCTCGGCGCAGGGACCCCTGTCCAAAGGACGCGCTCTGCTTTCTTGATGGTATGAGGTCCCCCTGTCTCACTGCTCACTTCTATCTTTTACATCTCAAGAGACTGCCAGAGGACACAATTGAGTCTTGTAGATCAGGTCCTGCCTTACTAATACAACTGCCACCCATCCTCCCTCATTAACATCATAAAGGCAGGATTTACAACACATAGAGAAATCACACAGTACCAGGAATCATGGCCCAGCCAAACTGATATACACTTTTGGGGGACATAATTCAAACCATGACATTCAGTATTCTTCACCAACACCATGATTCCAAGGTGTCAACTATTCTTCGGTCTACCTTATTCATTGTCCAGCTTTCACATGCATATGAGGCGACTGAAAACACCATGGCTTGGTTTAGGCACATCTTAGTCCTTAAAGTGCCATCTTTGCTTTTGAACACTTTAAGAGGTCTTTTGCAGCAGATTTGCCCAACGCAATATGTCATTTCATTTCTTGACTGCAGCTTCAATGGGCGTTGACTGTAGATCCAAGTAAAATGAAATCCTTGACAATTT